TTTTCTATATGGTATGAACTTCAACCATAAGAGTGCCTTACGGGTTCTTTACTCAGCTACCACTTTCAGCCTCACTGAAAAATCCAGAATCTATGGACACACAAATATTTGTTATTTTGCCTCCATGTTGGCGATAACCTCGGCCGGAGGTTTATCTGTCGCATTCTCCTGAAAGTAATATCCAAAGAACAACTTGAGGGAATTTCTTCCAGTATGGCACAAACGTCCACTTGGACTTAAAAATGACAAAAATAAAAACAGATTTTATTTTGATGATCATGGGTCAAAGGTCAAAGTCACCATGACTTTGCATCTGTCTTATTCTGATAAACCCGATATGTCAAGAACACCTTAAGGGATTTTCTTTTTTTGGCACAAATTTGGCACAAACATCCACTTTGAGTTAAGAACAAAGTGATTACAATTTGGTGGTCAAAGGTCAAGGTCACTGTGACCTTGTCCGTCGCATTTTCCTGAACGCTGTATCTCAAAAACACCTTGAGGGAGTTTCCTCAAATTTGGCACAAATGTCCACTTGGACTCAAGAATAAACTGATTAGAATTTGGTGGTCGAAGGTCAAAGGTCAAGGTCATCATGACCTCACAAATCATGTCTTTGGCCATAACTCAGAAAATCATGCGTTCATTCTGACTAAATTTCACACAAATGTCTCAGGTACTGAAGGGGAGATATTTGGTCAGGTGATATTAATCTTGGGTGTCCATCTTGAAACGGTGCTGATTGTATAGACCTTCTGTGCTGCCAGGGGGGAGTCGTGCGTCTGTGTTTTCACGGACGCTGATGTAAACTTCAGCTGCAACTTGACGTATTTACGGAGGCATACCACTGTGATGCGGTAATTCTAGTTTTCAAAGATTCATGGACACACTTTGTCTCCTATGCACAAACAGAAACAACCACCTCAGATCTGACACTGGAAGCAAACATACAAAACTGTATCACTACTGGTAACCTGTTTTTGGCATTGTATATAGACCGTTTCAAACTGGACAACATAAACATTCTAAATGGGTCCCTTTGTACTTCCTGTTTGAATGTTTGTTAATGCAGAAGCTGACAGGAAGTAAACAGGAACCAAAGTTGTTGCCCTAGCAACAGAATATCAATGAAACGGTTCACAGGATTGCACCTTTTCGCACCCCAGCATGTTTTTATATTTTGCACCTACTGTTCTGGCATTTTTAAGTTTAATCTTATCTTACTTCACTACCAAACAGACTAAAGTTACCTGTATCAACATCAGTCTCATCACCTGTGGCCGTTAGTTGGTTGTAAAGATCATTTATTTCCAGATTGCCTTTGAAGTCATCGATTCTCTCCGCCGCGGTTTCCTCCGCACGAGCAGCTGACAGCCAATAAGGTTTGAGATGTGGCGACATCACTGCGATTCAGGAAACCCTCTCCTCCTCCGCCGCTCAACGAGTCAAGTACCATAACATTAGCCCCGCTTCCTGTTTGTACTTTCAAATTAAACCTCAACTGACCTATGTATTTAAAATGTGAAAATGACTGATAAACAAAATGAGTTTGTACTGAATAAATAAATAAAGAATAAATACTACACTTAATAAATGGAAGGACTGGGTTTAATTATTTAATTAATTATGACCATAATTACGCTAAAGAATCAAAGCATTGTAAGAGAGAGAAGTGAGGAGATATTTAAAACGTGACTATTAGTGTGGGTACAAATGTTCATCTGGAGGCCTTCGGACAAATCTATCAGGGCATTTGAGGTTTCTTTTTTATACAGTTGTACCGTCAGTCCCTATTTCAATTTTTATATGCTTGTTCAGGAAGCTGTATATGATGCCCTGATTATTGATTACACATTTTGTTCTTTTAAATGTTATTTATTGAAAATATCTTATTGCTTATTGCTGTAATGTCTTGCTGTTCACTTGTTGTTTTTCATTTGCTGTTTTACTCGTGCTCTGTGAAGCACTTTGGGCTGCATGATTGTATGAAAGGTGCTACATAAATAAAGTTTGATTTAATTTGATTGATTTTAGGAGATCTGTGATGGAAAATCACAAATATATTTTGAGAATACAACTGTCTGAGTTTAATGAAAAGCAGTGTTGGGAAGTTTACTTTTAAAATGTTATAGGTGTCAGATTACTAGTTACCCTGTTAAAAATGTAAGCGTTCATGTATTCTAACTACTAAATCAAGTAGGCTGACTTGTCGTATTTGATTACTTTTCCAAGAAATGTTTTAAACTGGGCAATGAAACTGAAAACTGTCAAGGAATAGCATCTGCCAAAAGAAAGGCATTCCTGCAAGGTGAAAACATGCAAAGCAACAGGATGAATTTTACTCTACATATAAACTTTTAACCCAGGGGTCAGCAACCCTTTCAATCACAAATAATATTAACATATTTAAAACATATTTGAGCCTTATAATAAAGGTAAAACAGCCTATTAAGTCTAAATTAGTCTATTATAAGACTGAAGATGAGCCACTGCTATCGATGTTTGGCAAAATTTCAAGGAAAAGGTTCCAGTTTTACTTTATTTTTACTTGTTGTTGTTTTTTTTCAGTATATAGGCTATTTTTACAATTTGAGAATGTAAACATTTCTTTAGGCCTACAACATTGATAAAAAAAACAAACCAACATTTTAAAAAATAACTGTCATT